GATAATCAACAGAGTGGATCTCCGCAACTCGGTGAAGTTCCGAAGTGGTGCAATTAAAACGAGAGTTGTAATTAATCGGAATTTTGTGCGCATCTGGTTCTTCATTTACGAAAACTAGCTCGATAACGAAAGATATACGTGTTTTCCGACGACGCGTTCGGAATTTTCCGGATTGCTGAACGTGTTATCTGTGCGCGAAACGTAACCGTTCGATAGTTGGTATTTTATCAGTTTGTAGATTCTGTGCTCTTTTATAATGCCGCCGCGCGAGATTGCGTAGCGCTGACTTCTGACGCGTGTCTCTCAAAGCGCGAAACTTTCTTCCGTCTCTCTGTGCGCTCTCCGACGTGCGCGCGTGCGAGCCCAATAAAATTGTTGCGAAGTTTTCCGCTAAATAAATTGCTTCTATTCTCGGCGACTCTTTATAGTGTTTCGCGAACGCGGTATCACGCGCGCGTACAGACGGCGGACAAATAATTCGTCCGCCGGGAAGAATTCTTCGTGCGCGCGACCACGTTGTTGCGGTAGGGATGTGCGTTTGGTCTTGTTAGGACGTTGCCGGCGATGTTAGCTCTCATTAGCAGAGCCGGTCGTAATTAATACACATCGGCGTGAGAGTGAAGCGACGGACGGTACCGATGATCATTGTGTGAAGGAGAGAAAGGAACATCGCGGAACTCGGAGCGAAGGTGGTAAACACTTCGCCGCACAGAGAGAGAGAGAGAGAGAAGAAGACACTCAAAGACCTCGTGCGAAGATTATAGACTTTGAGAGAGACGCGATCTCGCAAAGAAATTGCTCTCCGATGACGTTTGTTTAATATTGGACAAAAACACGAATACAACGTAGTTGTTCGCTTAATTATCCTAAACATCGTAAGAGAAAAGAATCAAGAACCGCTGACGAAAGCTCTTCAATGGGCTTGAATGGCGACGATGGGAGTTATTGTATATATTCCAAGTAGGTAATCTTTTGATTCACGTGTTTTAATTGTTTTTTATGATGTCCGCGTCATCCTCAAGTGTTATCATCTCACTCGGAAAGTGATTTTTTTTTAATTTTTCCTCGGTTTCGCGATCGTTCGCAGCGATAGACACTTCTGTCTCTCGAATCGATGTTATACAATTCCGTGTGTATCGCTAATTAAACGGAAAAAGAAAAATTAACGACGACAGTATTGTTGTTTTTAAGCGCATTTTTCGTATTTTACTGTGTATGTCTCGCGACGCATATATTTATTAAAATATTGGTCTAACCAATATTTTTTAATCCAATATTCAGTCGCAGAGGAACTATGAAAATTGCAACGTGCTCGTGAATTTCCATGTCGTGATTATGTTTGCCGACTCTCACTCGCAATCAGAAAATTACAAAAAAAAAAATTATTGTTCTAACCAATACTTTTTAATCCAATATTCGGTCGCGGAGAAACTATGAAAATTGCAACGTCATGCTCGTGAATTTCCATTTCGCGATTATGTTTGTCGACTCTGACTTGCAATCAGAAAATTACAAAAAAAAAAAAAAAATATATGGATCTTTTAATTGGCGTTTGAAATTAAAGAAACAAATGGCGCGCGAGATACGTAGAAATGTATTTACTTATATATTTATCGGCCGATCATACGATTTGCGTCATCAATGTCGTCGTTGTCGAGCCGTACGGTTCTGATCGATTGAATTGTGCAAATTTCAAAGTGAAATCATCGTGATTTAATTGAATTAGTATGACGATCTTTAATGATTTATGCGAATAAAAATAAGCGTTACATAACGCGACGAAGAATTTAAGTGCGTGGCTAATCCTTGAAAAATAACGTTTGAGTGTGATAAGAGTATCTTATGTGTTATGCTGAGTCATGATAATTTTGGTATCTCGTGTTACATTACACGACGCGCGCGCGTCGTATGTGTGTGTACCTAAATATGTATAAAAAGTTCATAGTTTTTAAAAATTGATATTATAAACTGTGTGTACATGTGTGTGTGAGTGAAATCAGTATATTATATCAATTGTTAAAAATAATCTTTGATCAATTTGTGATAAAATTGTTTGCAGTGATATTGGCTGATCGACGAAACGTGTATCGAAATATTAACAACTTGAAACTACACATGTGTTTTTCAGACAAAAAAAAAAAAAAAAAAAAAAAAAAACAGATCGAAGATGTCTCAGACGTCATTCTTGTCACATTTTTCTTGACTTTTAATATCGGTCACTTTGAAATATGTGACAGCGTTATTGTGTGGTTTGAGTGATAAAAAATTCTAATATTCGAAGCTATCAAGAAAAAAGCATGTGCTTTTTATTAGAGAAACTGACTTATCGAGTAAACTTCAAAAGATAGTTTAAAATGTATTACTGACTGAATCAAAAGTTACTACGTTTGTTTTTATGTTCGGTCAGTTTGTGTGATTAATAGCAAAACGGTAACAAAAGTTCTTTGTTATTACAAATTTCAAACGCAGGCGAAACAGCTGATAGTGATAACAAAAGAATAAACAAGTGTTAAGAAAATTTAAAATAGAAAAGAAAACGAATAATTAATGGACAAAGAAAGTTGCGGAGCAGAGATAAATAAATTTACAATGCGCGAATGTCGTTCTAGGAAGCAGCTTATCGCAGCTTATTTACAAAAGACGGAAATGAGAGCAATATCTTTTGCTAATATCTATCACTCTTGAAAGAGCGCGATAAGGACAGATCTATCGTAATGAGCATTTGGTAATCCATTTAGCGATAAGTATTTTGTACGTCATGCCGCAAAGTTATGCTGATTCGAACAAATATCCAATGTTATCGTTATTCTTTTTTTTTTTTTCCAAACAGAATGTAATCTAATAAAATAATAATTATTGTAGACATTGTTAGATATATTTGCTGCGTATCGAAATTATTTCACACAACACGCGATGTAAAAACGTTAGCAAAAAACAAATTATAGTTATATTTATCACAATTGTTTTCTTTCACAAGGTTGTGATCTCTAATAAGAAACACTGCGCGCTAAAAACTCAAACAATATATCTCACATGTAAACTTCGCACTAAAAAATATCAGAAAGTTGCAAACATTTATTTATGTGTAATATTAAACATGCTATTTTTTTTTTAATTGATAAATAAATGCTTATTCAATGTAATGCAATAGACTGTACAAAAAAAGAGAACAAGCTAAGAGTTCGTTACGCATTTTTTTTTTTTTTTTGTTTAAGTCGATAATAACCAAGTAAAACTCGCATCTAGTCACGTACATTTCAAAGGCACTCGGTCACGCTGACTGCTTCTGAGAATGTCATATCAGCGCATCGTTGCACTCTAGACGTGTATCCTGTGTCGATTTCAAAAGATACACTTAAAAACACACACGGAAATGAAAACTGTCTCGGATAACATTATCATATTTTATCACACGTAAATTAAACCGCATTGTTGCCAACGTATGCAAATCACGAAATATGCGGATTGTTTTGTCGCGACATTAGTTTTATAATAGAAATCTTCAATTCTGACAATGAATAGTGACTGAAACATTGTCTTCGGAAATATGTGTTATTTCCTTTTTTTTTTTTTTTTTTCAATGACCGCGCGCTAGCGATAACAGCTCTTTGCTGTCGTTGAAGCGTTCGAATTGTAAATAATGTTTATTTTTGCGTGAACGAGCAAAAAAATGGACAGAGCAACAAAAAAAAAGAGATAAAGTTTAAGTGGCTATCCACAATTATCTATTATTAGTCTTTATGGTTTACTTTGTGAAAACGTTTCGACGAGTAGTTGTGAGTGCAGTGCACTCCTTTAATAATATTAACGTTTAAGTGAAGATGATACATTCAGATATCTTATTTTTTTTTTTCAGCAGAACAAGAACAGAAATTCCTTGTTTTCTCTCTCTCTCTCTCTCTCTCTCTAGGCGCGATAGATGGCTTGTTTCAAAATAATTACAAAGTCCGTAGGTCAGTGAGAAACTTGCAGCGACATTGATTTTTTTTTTTTTCTGAGCTGTGCTTGCTTGCAACACAAGAGATAATCTACTGATAACGCGCGAGATTTATATGCCAATATTTTTCTCGCTTATTTCCACGCCTTTCTTGCGAATCTTATCTTGCACAATCGGTGGACTTTAAATCCGGCTGATGTTAAATAGACATGTGTTTGATCAACGATATGTATATCTATACTCACGATTTTATCAATCTTTCTTAGGACGTATATTTTTTTTTCAAATGTGTTTTATTAGCAATAAACACAAGAAGTTTTCGTATCAAATAAAACAAGACCGATTAATATAGAAGAAAGTTAAATGATAAGCAATACATTAAAATGAGATATCTTTTGATGACCGGTTGATGGACGATTTACTCAGCGCGTTATCTTTCTTCCCTTTTTTTTTTTTTTTTTTTTTTTGTGTGTGTTTATCAAAAAAGCGTCCTACAAAGTAACGTATCTAGTTGCACAATCGTGTGCACACGTTGTAAATAATTATTCACGCAGAACCGGTTGTAGGAAACGTCGTGTTTGCGAAGAAGAGTGTGTTTGCCATCGAGAAACTTCCCCCGAATGCCTACACGTTATAAGAAATTGCAAATCCGTTCTTTCCTTGAAAACAAAAAATCCTTGTAAAAAACAAAAGTATTTTTTACAATCACTCGGTAAATCTTACGCAAACACAATGTATTTCCAGCGGAACGTTCTCGCGCGAGAAGAATTCTCGTGCGAGATATATAGGCGACGACCTACTTCGGCATGCGCATTTTGCAAATATACGCTTTCAGGATTGTTGACACGAGAGAAGCTACATTCAAGATAAGACAATTTATATCAAGTGAAAGAATTTCGCGAGCACACATCTCTCTCGCACAAAAGTTATTATGTCATCGTTGTTGTTAAATATATTTTTGCGCAAACTTATGTTTTTCGATCTTTTACACTGTGAAACTTTTATCGCGCGTAAACATTACACACGTAAAATAATTCGTTACTACCTTCGTTGTGTTTCTCAGGCATGTACACCATGCGAATGTTGGACAACGGTAGCAACAATGCGTCCGGACCGACCGGCGCGGCGGCTCTACCGGGTGTTCAAACAGCTGGTGGCACAACTCCAGCTACAACGGGCGTCACGACTTTGCCTGGTGTAACCGACGAAAGAATGGACGCTTCGAGCGATAGCGCCGTGAGTAGCATGGGAAGCGAACGCGTACCGTCTCTGTCGGACGGCGAGTGGATGGAAACTGGATCCAATTCCAGTCATACTCAGGCGGACTCCCATTACACCATGGATTACGCGAGGTGATTAAGACATCGGATATGTTTTGGTCCCTCCATAAAGATTAGGAACAAAGAGATAAGAATTTTCTTGGAAATTTATCATGATAGATAATAATACTAGGAAGTAATGAACAAAAAAAATCTAAGAACAAATTCTCCGAAGAAAGTAAAATTTAAGTTTTTGTCTCGATTGAGGAAACTGTAACTTGAAGCCAATTTAAAGCAATTAATACGTTTTGATGAACAACGTTAGATGCTGCGCGCGCTTATCTTCAGAGATACGTTGATAAAATTACACTTCGCGACATTTATCCGCGATCTTTCGATTTTACAGCAAGTATCGCATGCCATACGACTGCAACTACTCGGTATCCGGGAGAAACGCCGCCTCTCCGAGATGTCAGACGGAACGAACGGTGCCGCCTGTCGCGCAGAAAAAACATCAGATGTTCGCCAAGCGATATTTTCAGGAACAAGGCACTTGTTAGTATTTAGATATGTATACATACATAAAAATTTTCGCGGCTGCGAAACCTAACATCGATTCTCGATACGGCGACGAGAGAACCTTGATCGCGAACCAACTTTCTAGGCTCACCTTTAGGGGCTACCACACACCCGACCACTCCGATGAAGTACGAATACGACACGCACACGGTCGGTGCCGGTGCACCCGCAAACACGTATTCCGGACCAATCGAGGGTGCAGCCGGGCCGCAGTCAGAATTGAAATACAGTTATAGCGTGGATTTCAGCCGTCATCAATCCGGTAAGAAAAAATTTATCTGTATACGATTAGAAATTTTGTTTCACGTACGAACATTTGCACAATTCAATTCTTTTTTTTTTTTTTGTAGATATTATATAATTTTATGCAATTTGAGGTTTTTCTATTTTTAGGGCGATCTGCAATAGAACATGTTCATCATAATCACACCTATCATTTACCTGCCGAGAGCTCAGGTTCTCTTCAACGTCCTATTTCCCGTGACAAGAAAGGTAAATATATTTGCAACATTGTTTCTAATTTGTAAAAAAAAAAAAAAACAGATTATTTCTTACTATTGTTGTTTTACTTAAATGTTAGTTCGCAAAACTGAAGAAGAGCATCTAACGAGAGATGAGAAGAGAGCGAGAGCGTTAAATGTACCGATCGCAGTCACTGACATCATCAACCTTCCCATGGATGAGTTTAACGAACGTCTCAGTAAATATGATCTCAGCGAAGCCCAACTATCCTTAATACGCGACATTAGAAGACGAGGCAAAAACAAGGTCGCCGCGCAGAATTGTCGTAAACGCAAATTAGATCAAATCATAAGTCTGGCTGACGAAGTAAAAGAGATGCGAGATCGTAAGAACAGGCTTCTTCGCGAGCGCCAATACATGCTCATTGAGAAGCAGCGAGTGAGAGACAAATTTAGTCAGCTTTACCGTCACGTTTTTCAGGTTTGTGTTTTACTGTCATAGTTTCAGTTTTTTCGTTCTTGCATATGTAACACATTCTTAATTAATTTATGTGTGTAATTATTTTTCCACTCTAGTCCTTACGAGATCCAGATGGTAATCAATACCATCCGTACGAATATAGTCTTCAACAGTCTGCGGACGGAAATATTCTACTAGTTCCCAGAAATCAGACGAATCCGCATCAGTCACATCAATCTTCGATAGAGCCGAAGACGAAACCCGATCCCGAGCGCAAGGAATGAAACTACTGTCGTAGGATTCAATCGCGTGATTGGATTTGAGGAATTTGATTTGAACAGTGCGTCCAGAACGCAGGAAAAGCGAATATGATGTCAAAGAGATGAGACCCTTACAGAAGTTTATTATTGGTGCGGGTAAAAATTAATACGTCTTTTTTTTAAGTAATAAAGGCACTATTTAGCAAATTGTTTTATCTATGAATATATACATACATATATATGTATATATATATGTGTGTGTGTATGTATATAGATAATAAATATACATGATATATATGATTACAACATGTATAATCTATATATGATATGTATAAGTGATGATTAATGTTGTAAAACATTATATCTCTTGAACAATTTAATAAAATGTTTGTAGTCTACATGATTTACAAAAAATTATGATGCATTCATGTCGAAAACAAACTGATATGATAGTATACAATTAGCATATTTGATACTGGTCGTGGTATCGAATATGTGCGCGTAAATTGAAACAAAAGCACTATTCAACAATGATTCAAAATAAGTATTATTTTGGTCATACCAGTAATAAATTTTTGTAAGGGGGATATTGTACGCTTTATCCAATATATCAACGCATAACACGTTTGTCGAGCAGGGAAAGTTCTAAAAACTTTAAACCTGACATACCTCGCACTGTGTCCAAATAAACAACGAAGTACGTTGAATATAGCACAGAAATTGCAAATATGTGATTTCTAGTAATTGACTTTTTTTTTGTCAAAACACACATTTAGAAATTTTTAGTAAAAAAGAAAGATAGAATTTCAAGTGAAATTCAAGTGATTCTTTATGTTTAAAGGTGATGCTGCAGTTTTCAGTTAGTTTTTTTTTACTACTCTCTGTTAGTTAATGTAGTTTTACAATCCGAAGTTTTGTCACACTTCGTGTATCTTTCATTTTATTTTTCATAATCAAAGATTTTTGTGCTATCTTGTCAAATGTAATGTTACATTTGTAATGTATCTTTTTTTTTATTTATTTGTTCGCGTAAAAACAGATAAATGATAAAAAAAAGGGATAAATAAAAACGATAATAGAAATCAATAAAATGAAAAGAGTTTCATAAATTCCTTTTACTCAAGTTAAATATCGAACTCAAAAGAAGAAAACATGTTTTCAGAGTTTATCTCATTGGCCTTTATAGTGACACGTAATTCTACTTTTGAAAGGATGATAAAATCAGTTCGCAATGTGCGATCTTTTCTATCTGAACGCGCTGCGATGTAGTGGTAAAAAAAAAAATTTTACCAATATACGCATATAAACTCTAAGAAAACACGATTTGATGGTCGTTGTATCGTGAAACTGTGCTTCGAGAGAACTGTTGTGTCACCGCAATTAAAGCGGTACTCTAAATTAATAATCTTATTCCAATTACTATTCTCTTCCTGCTTTACGCGTAAAATATGCTTGTTAACTACTTAAAGTACATATACGTAAACGTGTAATTGTGCAGTGATCTACTACACGATGAAAGAAGCTCACTTTATACATTCTGAGAAAGATTTTATCGCGTTTCGATGTAACGTTGTTTTATCTATGAATATATGATGATTTTGATTATATATATATATAACATTCATATATATATATATATATATATATAAAGAATTGCGATAATTATGTTAAAACGTGTCTCTCGGATGATTTCAATAATATTGATTTCAGTTGTTCGTAGTCTACTTAATTGCCAAAATTATGACGCACTCATGTCTTGCCGGAAGCAAACTACTGTGGTATCGAATATATTGTACGTAAGTCGATGATGTGAATAATAAATAAAAGACACGCGCGCGCGCGCGCACACACATACACACACACACACACACACAACATGTATATCTAATGCGTTAGTGGTTTTCGGTGTGTCTGCATTCACAGATATATTTTATGACATATGATTCACCGAATGGATATATTACTTTCATTCTTCACACATTTATGAAAACAAACCAATGAATTGTGTGTGTCAAAGGATATTTGAAAAATCATTATTGTTATTTAATCGATACACGCAAATGCGAGCGCGATGAAAATCCATTATTTGCATCTCTCAATACTGTCAAATCTTTCAACCGTAAAAAGGCGAATGTGTATGTTCTTAGAAAGTAGCCGCACAATTTACGAAAAAACGTGTATATACGCGCCAGTAACTTAAACACGAAACACGAATATGACATATTATTTATTTACTAACTGACATAGTTATGAAATGTGTATGATACTACAATAATCTGACCAAAAAGAACAAACAACGAATATTAATCATTCACCGACTGACATAATATGCATATATCGCGCCGCACGACCGGTTTTCTGTTAGAGCGTGTCTCAATTAAAATGTTAAGTAAAATATCCTTTGTTGCATTATTAACTTAGAAAGTACACGTCGATTTCAAAACGCTTCCAAGAGTAGTGGCGTTATAAGTGTGTAATGCAAGTTTATAATTGCATTTAGTTACGGATAAAGAGCGACAAAAAAAAAGGCAAATGGTCGAAGTATTGATGACAAAATTTGCAGCAACCAATCAAGCTCCGAACATTTCGTATTCCGTATAAAGCAGCTATCTTCAACTTCACTTCATTCAGATAAAAATAAAAATAAAAAAAAAAAAAAACCACACAAGAGAGATATACACACTGTAATGTATATTACATATATAGTGAATATAATGTGCAAGATTATGTGAATACATTTACCGCGAATACACGTTGTAATGCTATACACAATATTGAGAATAGCATTCGTTGAAATACGAACAAATACGACTCACACATGATAAAAATATTTTTATAAACTAAAAGAGAGATTGAAAGAGAGAAAAAGAGATAGAGAAAGAGAGAGAGAGAGAAAAATGTTCAGGTATTTCACATTTGCCTTTCTATGTAAATATTAATCTAGCTAGTATAATTTTCTATATAAATATATTATATATATTATATATATATATGAAAAAAAAAAATTATATTAATGTATGTATTTATGTATATGTGTATTACCTGTATATATAAATACATATACATGAAGAGTACTACACTAAAGTATATGTTATAATGTTAAAAAAAAAAAAAAACAAGCGAGCAGAAATACAGTTTATCAGTCGGTATTAATAATCTGCTCCTTATTAACACATTTACATACGCAATTGTATTCATACTATTGGGTGTAGGATGCCTTTTACGTATTGTACTTAGCGAGCGGAGATCTCGTGTATTATCTACTATCGGCAGACCTTCGTAAAAAAAAAAAAAAAAAAAAAAAAACTAATTTATAAGAACTCTGTTCGTCTATTGTACAAACAATTTTTGGATTTACGCGAAATCAGCGGATCCGCTTAATTGCAATGAAGATCTCTCCTCCCTGTCATTAAATTTCTATATTGTATAAATAAAGCTGAATAAAACCTTTGGGGAAAGTATATCGTATTAGTTTTTATATACGCGTACGTCTGATATGTTATATAATATCTATAAATTATGAATCAATATATATTGGATTGGATTGCAACTCCGACAAAGTGAACTGAAGTGTTCAAGTAACGTTGATATATGAAAATGAAACAAACGCGAATCCATCTCGAGAACAGAATTACATATACGAGAATTCTTATAACACAACTGCAAAAACATATTGTTACTCACAATTTCTCTCCGGACAGAATACGTGTAATCTCGATCCGGTTTTGCACTTGTTTCACCTTTTCCAGTTGGATTGTTTCACCTTTTCCAGTTGGATTGTTTCACCTTTTCCAGTTGGAATAGTTTTGAAGAATTTGTAAATTCGAGTAAGTGTGCCATCTACGCCGATTTCAACCAGAGAGAAGAATGAGAGCGGCCCGTGAGAGTTTTCACGATCGCTTTTTCGTCCCGTCAAGCTAGCGCACGTCCACGAATGGTGCACATTATCGCAACTACGTAGCGACGTCCGCGAGTGATCTGTCGATACGTACGCAAACTTGGAAATGGTTCTAATCCGTGCTATGTGCGGTGAACATGGTTCTATTCCGTGTTATGTGCGCGCGCATCGATATACAGACTTGTATGTCTATCGATATATTGGCTGTCTCATATTTGTTAGATCTTGGACGAGCTGCGGAGCGAGAGAATCTTTTTGTAACTGGCACAAAATAATAACAGACAGTGCAATAATAGAAAATACAATAGGATGGCCGCTTTCAAGTTTCTCTCTGGTATCAGGTATTTCTCACGAAGTGTTAGTGATAAGATTAAGGAAAGTTTATATTTTGATCACACTTCATTTTTGCATCATACGATTGTCAGGATGTCTGTGACGCTTTTTAAAACAAATAATCTAATTTTTCTACGTATTTTGTGTGAAAATTATTTGTTTCACATGTAATTTGACAGAATTTAATAGATGTCTGGAGGTTCTGTGTGAGATACGTGTAGATGTGCTAGATATGTGTAGATAACTTTTTACTTAAATTTCAAATTTACAATTAACAAACATTTTTATAGACTTGTATAACTTTGTAAAAACTTTGTTTTTCTAAAAAGTAAACAGTAATTTAAAAAAGTACAATATTCGTGACCAGCACGTATTACATATTCAAGTATAATAATAACAATAAAATATACACATACCGCACAATTCAATTAGATATTATATACATATATAGTCCGCGTACGATAGTAAAATTAAGTATTTTAACACAATTGCATCATAATAACATTAATCTTGTGAAAATTCTGACATGAAAAAGACGGACATTACTTTTTTATAAAGAAACTTCGAAATTGCGCAGTATGAACAACTTAAATATTTGTTGTATACAATGTGTGAATTTGTTTTGGTGGTGGAATCATTGTTGGCGGCATATTGTATAATTCTTCGCTTCACAAAATATATCGTTCGCTCTTCCCATCTAAAACAAACACGCACAAATTTTTCAAATTAATACACCAACTATAAAAAAATCTTTTCGAAGAAATAAAATTATAATATAAAATTTGTTTCTTTCCCTTCAGCGTGTATTGCAATTTAAATAATTTTATTAACACAAAAGTAATGTGTCAATATATTCAACATAGGATTTTCTTTAATAGAAAATCGTTTACATAACAAACAGAGAAACACGAATATAAACGAATATGTGAAATCGCATTTTCTTACTCCATGAGATGCTTGCGTCTCCAAAGCTTACACCATGCTTGACTCACTTGAGAAGTATTCGGGCATACAAAATGGAGTGCCAACTCCGCTGCAGCCATTGCCAAAATACATTCCGAAATATTACATAAGGTCTCATCTAACATGGATACATCGAGCTACAAAAAACAGTTACACTTGGTCGTTATATTTGCACGTTAAGAAATAAAAATAGCACATTGTAGTATTACTCAAATTAGTTTTCTATTCATACCAGATAACTACCGCAGAAGTAGACAGTTTTGATGTCAGTATTATTAATTAGATATTGGCTGTCTTGGTTTACTCGAATTATATAATATAAAAGTAAAGAATATGGATCGGCAAACCGTGTATTGAACTTAACAACTGACAAAATTTTCTTCTCATATTGCAATAATTGTTTCTCCTGATTAATATACATGTCTTTTGCATTTTTCAATAAAGTAATCACCTAAAAAGATATACAAGTGTTACGGAGAAATTATGTGCAAGCGGCAATTTATATAAAAATATTTATTCATTAAATTTATATTATTATTATTATTATTATATTTAGTTCTACTCGCCCTCTCTCTAATTATTTACTCGGTAATATAGTTGCAAAACTTTTGATCAAGAAAGAAAGTTTCATTTACCGATGGTACTTTATGGAAAATTAGTTCTCGCTTGAGAACTATCCATAAAGCCGTTAAAGCCAGTAACTGTACATTCTTCAACTCCACTAAAATTCTGTCAATAGCAATATTAAACAATTTGACAGTTTGATAAATTATGTATGACGGGTAATGGCAGCGTACCTAAAAATACGATCAGAATTACAAAAAGTGTAAGCAAATATATATCGTGAAGATAAGACATTGAGAACGGCAATAATTTTACTAATAATCTACTTACACCAAGACGAATCAGATATTCTACGATGACTTTTCTTTGTTGCACGTTTATATTTTCATGTAAAAAACGAGAACTGAGTTTCGGAGCTTTTTCTTCTCTGTCGCGTTCAATTTCTGCCACATATTCCATATGCCACTCATTTGTGAATTGATATGTGCCTCTCAGTGTTATGTCAACGTCTTTGACCTCGTTTACTTTTGTAAAAATACGTGTCATTTCGTGCTCGAAGTTTTCATGGCACGTCTCGATCTGATTAATATCAAAATTTCAAAAGAATTAAATATCGTACGTATATATATATGATTAACATAGAGCCGAAATTTATATTAATTATTAATATCACTATTAAATTTTTTTCTTCTCTTCTCATACCTTTTTAGGAGATGATGTACCGATGAAGTTACCCGAACATTTTTCAACATAAGAGCGACTTTTATTTTGTGATTTATTTTTATCTTCATTATTCTCTTGCAGATGTAAAATGTTTTTATTGGGTACGGTTGGTATTACTTCATCTAACAAATGCTTGTTTTTAGGCTTTAAGGAGTCGGTTGTTGTTGATGTCGGTTTTTTGATACTTTCAAGTTTTATCTGGAATATATTAAACAACATAGATAAGATTCACATTCGTGTTGAGAGCAGCATAATTTTGATATTTATTCTACTAACTTTCTTATGCGTGCTAGAACATTTCTTCGTGTTTTGTTTCGGTATGGTACCAGCTGGAACAATAAAAACATTTGTTTATGTAAACAAGTGTCGCGTGTGTTTTAATATATATTTTGCATTATATATCTCATAGTCTACGATATTTCCTTACTACTTTGCGGTTTGCTCATTCTGTTCTTCCATTCTTGAATACTTGCAATCGTTCGTTGTTTAACATCTTGTGAAACCTGTTGGCTCGGAGTTACCGATGTCTTTTTTTCGTGTTGTGCAAATGACAAAGGTTGTCTGCTTTCCGAACATGATCTGGAGAATGTTAAGAGAATATATAATCGATTACACGTATCAAATATATTTTTACATAATATAATAATCGTGTTACAAACATAAAATTATAAAAACTTGAAGAATGTTTCTAGAAAATATATCTCACATTTGTTGGTGTAAAAAAGTTTCACGTAAAATATTTCCATCGACACATTCTAAAAGGGATCAATAATATTTTGAATAATATGTCAACATTAACGGTTAAGTTCAGTGTTGATCACAGTTTCAGCGACAAAATAATTATTTCGAAACAAAAACATAAAGATATAAAACAAAGTCGGTTATTTTCGAAAATTAATGAGATCGTGAATCTCATAATGAAATCTATCGAACAAATGGTACTTTAAGCAACACAATGCGCACAATTTAATGTTTAGGAAAAATTCATTATTAATTACTATAATATTCTTTGTAAAAATACATACCTTTGCGGAAATTTTCTAGTTGTTCGAGAAGTGATCGAAGAAAATGATCTGCAAGGTAACGCGTAAAAGTTTTCTTTTCAATAATCAACTACAATTATATCTTCAGTATTTACATTATTATTTTGCTTCAATTTGTTTGTTGATACAAAAATCCAATTTTTAATCTTATCACACGTTTCTCTTACCTACGAGGAGCGAAAAGAGTGCGTAAGTCGGAATTTGAAACATTTTCTTCCTGCTCTTTGCGAAGTGTCGAAGATGATGGCTTTTCCGCGGAATCAGTTTTCGATCTAAGCCGTTTCCTATCCACGGGTTTTCGTATACGGGAACGCGATCGAATATGTTCATTGTCGCAATAAACTCGAAAGTTACTTTTATCGATGACGGACGATTGTACCGATTGTACATTGGACGTCGGTTGAGTTTCTATATTTACAGACAATCCCTTTTTCTTTTCGACTTTATTATTACTTTCGTTAGATTTTCCGATTGAACGGTCATTTTCTTTGCTCACAAACTCGTCGCACCTCAGAACTCGTTGCGCCAACCAAGTCCTATTCTCCGACATATCTTGATAATCAAAAACACAGACATATATAAAATCCAATCAGTAATATAATCAATTCACAAAATAACAAATAATTCTAAATTATTGCATTTACTTTTTATAATTATATTGTCGAATAAATTAAATATTATATAATGTGCATCAAATATGTTGATTGTATGGGATTAAGAACGATTAAAAATTCACATAGTTGTTGGGCAAAGACAAACGAACACAGCTGGTGATATCTTTGAAGCAACTGAAAGAAAATCATGTGTCTTAGTCATGTTCTTTCGACTTGTTTATCTGTCCTATCTTATCCTCACTTAAACTCTATAATACATGATACCATCAACTATAGATTTTCAGTATCTGCTGATAGTATCGGAATAACGCAGCCTTTATCGTCCGATCTGTACACAAGGATGCCCTACAACTGAATATCTGTTATTTAGTTTATTCAACGGTATATTATTAAGCGAAAAACTAAAGATTAAATATTATAATTGTTGGCTAATCAAATTATACTTATCAAAAATTATAATTACATGTATGAGTAAAAACGAAAACATTTTGAGCAATTTTTACTTTTTACGTAAACTAGAAAAATTTAATGACACATATTTCCGATATACTTATTATTTAAACTGTTTTCTTCCGTAACTTCTCTTCTCCGTTTTATATTAAAAAAATATAAAAACAATAGTATTTTCAATCGTTAAAAATTAAATCGCTCCGGAATTGATTTTCGACCGATTAAGTTTAAATTCCCCATTCACTAACTCCACCTGGATTGTACGAAGGAACTAAAATAAAATAGACATGTCTCCCACGTGTTTTCTAGTTGAATCAGAAAGTCAAAGTTTGTTTAAGGCAGTTTAATATTCCATGTCTTCTGATTGATTTCGTCTATCCAACAAACAAGGTAAATTAATTTTTGACGCTTCTGAAAATGACGCCAGATTCGTGGGTGAAAGCGATTGAGAACGCCCAGAAAACTGCCAGTATTGAAGAAAGTAAGACTAAGTGATAATATATCTCTGTAAGATGTATGAGATGGGGGTAACTTTGATTTAATTACTGTTTGCAGTTCAACAATCTCTAGCTGGCACGTTGTTATTTATCTTTCTACAAAAAATTAGTCAAGCAATTTACTGAGAGACAAAGTTACCTCATCTTATGACAAGAGAAATATGTAATTGAAGTAAAATTCAGGATTATTGTAATATTGTAATATTTCTTTATCTTTTTATTTATGTATGCAACTTTATATTTAAATATTATAAGAAGTATTTGTATAGTGTTTAAATTTTATGTAAAATAACTACACACACATAGCTGATTTAACCTAATCAATAATAACATGTTTGATCAATAGCTAACTTTGTGTACATATCAACACACATAACATCGCACAAAGAGATTTTTTCTCTTGCTCTGTTTGTATCATATCTTTTATAGCAAAAAGAAAAGTTCATTTTTTATTCGAAGATGGGAAAGAAATGGTTGAAGAGTATTCTACAGAAACGAATGTGGTTTTACGAAGAGCATGGAAAGAGAAAAATAAGTTTGGCAAAAATATAGGTTGGGTTATTGAAGTTGGAGTAAACGGATATAAACCAAATAATATTGAACTATATGGAATACAAGAAAGTTCAAACATGGTATGTTACCTTTTTGTATGTATAATAAACCTTAAAATATTGTGTAATATTAACCACGTAAGCGTATGTGTATACCTTTAATTCTTTGTGTTCTAGCCATATGTTACAAGAAGAATTACAAAACTATCATTGGAATGGAATATTAATAACTTGCCATACCCTCAAAATGTATATTCTGTCACCGCAGGACAAGATGGCAGTATAACTGTACGTACAAGTAATAAAAAGTATTTTAAAAAAATACAGGTTCCAGATCTTGAACGGATCGGGTTAAAGCCAGAGCAAGAACGAATATCATTTCAGCATCGATTCAACACATTAATTATAACCGTATGTAAAACAAAAAAAAAATACTTTTGTAACCGCACTTGTTATTGTTTTATTCTCACACTTCTTTATTTATTTTTAGTATAAAAAACCACCTGAACTTATTGACGTGGAGAAGAAAATACTAAATATGGTTCTACAGCTGGAAACAGATAATTCGCAATGTCCAGTTAGTTAATATAACTGAATTTAAGTATTGTTTGTACTTTATTTAAGATATTTACAATTAAAAGTTAGTTATATATTGATTTTTACTTTCTTAACTTATTCAAAATATATTACGATTTATTAATTGTAAATCTTTCATATAAATGTTGTATTATTTTCTTCAAATTGTATAGAAAATAGAAAAATTATTGCTTTAAAAACATTTTTCCCAATTTTATAGATTTGTATTTTATTTTCGATGTTTTTAGATTTTTTTTATAAAAGTGAGTACATAAAAAATTATAAATCAAATGATTTAAAATTATGAAGAAAGATATTTAAGAATATGCAAGGAATATCTAGTAACATTTGAAACACATTCAATTTGAGTAACTGCGATAAAGAGACGGAAGAGATGATTTTTATTTTAAAACAAAGAGACAATTTATGTGTATTTTATTTTGTTGATTCTTCGAATTCCATCGAGTCGTCACCAATATGCGCGACATCCAGTTTGATCGATCGATTCTACTTTATCAACTGCGCGCGAGTGCGTCTGCTGCTGCTGCGCACGCATGGCGGTGTGAGTGTGATATGGCGGTATTGCGTTTCGGTGTTATGCTTTTTCTTTCGCGGGAAGTACTTTGAGTGTTGAGAGAAAATGACGAATTCAGTGCCCGACAGGTGAGTGAATTTGTGTTTGTTACAATCGAAGTCACCGATCGCTCGTGGCGTCCGTAATCGCCCGCGTACACGCGATCGCGAGCGAGGTCACGTTACAGAGAGGTTATGTCACACAAATTTTTCGTCACATCTGGAACCCGTATCCCGTGCGACGATGCTGTTGAGATAATCGTGCGAACGCGTTAACTTACAAGTGCGGAAACTCGCGTTTTCTCCATCGGACGCGCCAATAGATCGCGAATTTGTTTTTCATTCTGTAAACCGACGCCGTTCTCGGAAAACTGGCTAACCTGACTAACCGATCTGGCACGCATCATCTGCCCATCTTGTTTGGTGGCGTTTCTCACAGATGGTGCTTACTTCGAATCGTCAACTTCTGTGACGTGAGGTCAAATAGGCGCGCTTCTACAAAAAAAAAAAAAAAAAAAAGCCACTAGAAGCGCGCCTAGTGCGCGACATCAACAACAGTGATTAATTTTTTTTATGTTACAAACATTCAAATAACGATTCGCGATCCGATATCTTTGCGTATATTTGTGTGTATTTATGTACATGATATTTTTTTTAGATGGCTGGAATACAAGGCATATGGTGATGTAATTAAGGGCACTCGAATCTTGGCATTTAAAGCGCCACTGAAAGAAGTAAGTAGCAATTTGCATATTTATTAATGTTTAATGTGTCATTGAGCGAATATCTACGCGAGCGTAATTTTACATATATAAAACATTTAGTTCTTTCAAAGATACGCGGTGTATAGTATTGTGCCAACAAAAAAATTCCTAAGACTGCACATCGCGGAACCGCGTCAACCGCAGTTCGCCGAAACAAGACGCTCTTCTTGTCTCTGCCACCCCTCCTGTCTCTCCTCCCTCTCCGAGTCTTTCTCGTTCTTCTGCGTGCACTAAATCAAAGATTCTCTTCGCGGGGGTCGTGGCGGCCGCACGGCAGATAAGATCGCGTCGGATTCTTGAAATGGACGACGCGGCAGGTACACGCGTCGGCGCTACATCGCGTGCGTGCGTGCGTGCGTGCATGCGTGCGTACACACATCTATACACGCACGCATGAATGTTCGTGGGATCGTGCGGCACGGGTCCCCGTTAAATCGATGCGATGTCGGAGTGCCGGAGGAAAAAGAAAGCCGAAGAGAGAAAGAGAGAGAGAGAGAGAGGCGAGCCCCGCACGTTCACCCGTCTATTTCGGGGTGCAACGGGAGGGTGGGCAAGCAACATCGTCCGTGAGATCTTGTATCGGTTGCAGCCAAATTGCTGTATTGTGTGCGCGATGATCCCCTCCTTTTATAGATATAAACACGCGTGATATATGCGCGCTCCTTTGTGGCACACAATATCGGTGGCTCGTGCACGTGATTCTAGTCGCCCACCTAATCGAGGGATCTTACGAAGATGCGTGTGTATATATAAAATATCAAGTTTTTTTTTTCTAATCGTGGTAACTATTCGATTGACGCGCGCGCGGTTTCAATATCGTCGATAGCATCCTGCGATTTTTTTTTTTGTGTTTATCTCATTTGCGAGAGCGCGCGCGTAAGTCGGATAAATGTTCGCGATCGCGAAACCGACGAAAGAAAACCACAACGCCGCATGAAAAGTATCGGCATTTTTATTACTTACAAAATAATAAAGTCGGAAATCACACAGAGTCGTTTCCTGATTATCGCGGGCCCTAAGGGCCCGCGCATAAGCTACATATATTACATATGCTGATTATGGGCGGCGCAGCGCGGCGCGTAGTCTCCTAATTGACGGCACGACGGTGCCCAGGTTTCACAGGATATAAAACACTTTTATATACCTACGGACCCGCGTCGAAATCTCATTAAAACACGTAACGATAGTCCGCCTAATTGAGCGCGCTGTGCCGTGTTATGACGACGCACTCTTGATATGCGCGTACTTGCTCGTCGAATCTTTCGAAAAAAAAGAAAAAAGGTTTATAACATAATCTCGCGCCGTGGCGCGACTCGTCGTTATCGAAGATACGATTAGACGGAGTTTTTTACAAAAAGTACAGCCAATAATTTTGCTTACGTTAATCAACGTCGAATAATTTTATCAATTATCATATCGCGGTCGAAAGTGAGATCGGATGGCGCGAGCGACGTCTCGGATTTTGAGTGTTCGATAACTTCCTGTGAAAGAGTGACTGTTTTCTCTACGGCGTTTTATCTTCTCTCATTTTATTCGGTTTATTATGTATTCTCGACGCGTAAAAACTTTTGAAACGAACTCCCGTTGATGACAGCTAATCCTAATTTTAATCGCTCGCGTTTATGCTTACATAAAAGCTCGAGAAACTCGTTGGCGCCACTCTCTTCCGTCCAGACACGATATTCACATCGGATCTGGATGCGGATCTTGGTCGCGTCAAAAATCCCCCGCGGGATTCGAGCGGCAAAATTAGCGTCTCTAATTCGCCGCGCGGTCGGAGGCAAACGCACCGGAGCGACGTCTCTTGATCTTCGTTTGTTTCGAGCTATTTAATTTCCGTCTAACTCGCGGACGAAACCGGTTTTTCTCGTCGCGGTCTCGTCGTTCCCGCGCGCGCGCGCTCTCTCTCTTTCTCACAGGACAGTTGCAAATAAGTTTCGGGATCGCCCGCTACGGGATATACGTGGCGCATGCATACGCAAAATAGGAGGGTGCCATGGCTAATTGATTCTGGCATCGCGGGCATTACATAAAACAAGTCAGACCTACGAATTGGATTCACGGCTGATTAGGCTCGTTGCGACGGCGGCGGCGACGGCTGCAGCGGCCGCGGGGGGCCGCTCGTTAATAAGAGGGCCTTTCGAAGGGCCCAGCACCCATTCCCGGCGCTCGCGCACGGCGAACGCTTCTTCATCATCTATAAGAACTTGTAACAAATATCGGCTCACACGAAACGTGATACGCTCTTCGCCGACGTTTCACCGTGGTCCTTCTATCTTCTTCCTCTCGTTCTTTTCTGATTGAAAAACGATGCTGACCCGATGAATTTAAGATAACGTTAGTCGTATACACTCGAGGCAGATGCATCCCGTTGCAAAGTTATCTTTTCCTCGACGAATTTATGAAAATAAGTTCGGAAACACGCTTGCGCGCGTATAGATGTTTCACGCGATCGTTCGAACCTCTAACGTTAGCGGAAAACCGTTTTGCGAATTGATATTTATTTGCGTAATAATTTTTTATTAGACTAGAAATTTTAACAAAAAAGTCGTTGCGATTCTCTTTTATCAATTGGTTTTTATCATTTTAATTTCAACACGTGTAAATGTTTTTGTTATCGCGTACGAGATCTTGTGAGATAGAATCTTTTGGCGGAAATAAATAGATAGCTATCAAATTCCATCTGAATGATAGCCGAGATGTCAAATATGGAATTCGACCGTACATTTCTCGACCGAATATTTTTTTTCTTTTCTTTTTCGGAACTGGGACCGTGGCAATACGGGCGATTTCTGCACGTTGGTAGAATATTAATTCGTGCTGAGAGAAGCTACGGGGTAGGCCTCGCTCAAGAATATAGATAGGCGTCTCGTCGTGGGTGATATCTGTATTTCAATCCTCGAAAATCCCAAGCATCGCGATCGTTATCGCGTGAACTTCTCAGTTACACGCCGGCCTAACCCACCCTTATAGCGAACTGCATAAGCAACCGCGTTTCCGAGGATAAGATGAATGAGGGGATTCATCATTTTGTGTTTTAAATTTGCTTAAAATTTTCAAAAAGAATGCGCACATTCTTTTTGAGGAATGCGCGTCTTTCTAACAACGTTCCGAGAGAAAGAGAGAAACAAACGAGCGTTTAAATTCACACATGGTGGTCTTCATCTTTTCTATTTGCAATTTAAAGCAATATGTTTCACATTTTTAAATATTTGTTTTAAATTTGATTTTATATCTTCAGTAATATGTGATTTTATTATTTCAAGAAAATTATTTGTTAAACTTTTCCACATGATAATCTCTCTGCGTTACAAAGTTATTAAGATTAAGATAAATTTCTCCCCCGAACAATTTAATCTTTTTTCGATGTGTTTTCTCGACTTTGGAGAGTTTTACATAACTCATTTCTTCATTTTTCGTTCTCGAATATCCCGTCGTCTTGTCTGATTAATTCCATTATGATAACCTAGGAATGTCAGATGCTTTTCTCTAGACGGTTTCTTTTTTTTATTTATTTCCCACAGCTTTTACCTGCGTTGGGAAAAACTCTGACCGCGCGAACAAAAAAAAGAAACATACGAAAATGCTCTTTCGATCTTCGAAATACACGTTTCGCGTTTATCGACGAGATATCGATTGGTCGTCCGGCGACTGTCATTATTCACTACTACGTTGACGTTTTCGCCAACACACCACGTAGGATTAGCCATAACCATTTTTTGTCTCGCATGATTTACGGATGAGATCCACGCGAATAACTTCATCGCTCGCGCGCGACGTATTCGTGTCACGGTCCGTCGTGTGTGTCGCGTCTCGAGTCTCCTTCTCAAATTGTTTCTCATTTTCTTTTTTTTTCTTACAATAAAATATTAAGTAACGACGATGACTGCAATCGGTCTCTCTCGAGAGACCTTTCTCGAGACAATAAACGACGCTATTGTGCGTCTCTCGTTGCAGACGTTAATTTTTCGAGCAAACATACCCAAAGATTCGGCCATTCTCTTATAAGTTTTTCGCGCGAATAAATCGAAGCTTACGCAATCGCGCGTAATCTTTTTACGATCGCATTTAACGCAGATCGATACGACGGACACTGTATTATATTCCGTGTAGAATTTTCGAATTAACGTTCTCTGACGTACGCGCAAACGCGATACGATCCGTGCGTTTGAGGTCAAGGCGAGCGATAAAAAAATTATCTTTTTTAGTCACTTATCACTCTTTATGTTTTCGAAATGTGGCAGTTTGACGCGGCGTTTTAATCGAACTTGATGGTAAAATGTGCAATCTTAACATTTTTTATAATACACTAGTTTATAATTATTTTATTTTATTTTATTAGAGATTTTTGTTTTACACACAGTTTTGGATATCTACTGTAATACGTAATATCGTTCGACCAATCGTCGAAGCGATATCCGCAGGCGTTATTGATTCGTCAAAGAGGTGTTGATTTAAGATTACATCGGCGCTTGTGATAGCTCTTCTCACGAATTTCTCGCGCCGAAACATTACAGATTGATTAATTCGGGACACGTTCACGCTCAGCGGTCGCTGTTACACACGTCCGATCGCGATCGGTCGTGCGCGGTCGTTAGATAAGCGGATTTATTAGTTCGCGCCGCTAGACGAACGCGCGCGGTGTTATTAGCAATGGTCGAGTGTTTGTTTAACACTCGTCGCGATGAAGTGAATCTCTCTCCCGTGGGGCAAGCGGACGAGCGAGCTCTCTCATCTTCTCGCAGCCTCGTGGAGCATTTCACGAAAGGGATGAGCGGGGTGAAGGAAGAGACGCGAGCGGGAGGGGGTGAGAGCGAGACGGCGATTGTAATTTATGCCGAAGTTAGCGAGCAACTTCGATGACTTTGTAAAATATTACTGATCCCCGTTTTGGAGATCTTATCTGAGCCCGACACCGCGCTTCGTTTCGTCGAAACGCCCTTCTCTCTTTTCTCTCTTCTCTCTTCTTT